GTGGGATTGGTAAAATACATGAATTAAATCATCGCCCCTCATGTGACACCGTTTGGTTTGAAGATGACATCGAAACAGATAAGGACAACAAGTCCGTACGAGTGTGGCTCTTTTTAACTGAATGTAATCATCTTAGGTCGAGTGGTTTTCCAGTGATGAAGCGTGCTTCTAAGAACAAAGTGCAGGATGAAAGGGGTGATGGACACACTGAAAAGCCTGATAAATCACACTTGATCCTGGTGTTTCCTTTGTGCTTCTGTCTGTGCACAGGGACTCCACAGCTCACACTGAAGCTATAATATTTGCTGGTGCCTGGCTTTTGGAAGTCAAGAATGAATGCAGTTTAAAAAACATTCATGTTGGATTGTTTCCTGTGGAGCTTTGTAAGCAGCTACAGTTTCAAGGCCACATTTTCACATTTCATGGTCTTTTATAATGAATAGCATCTCAGCTATTGTTTTAGCATAATATCAAGACACTGTTGTCAGAAAAAAATTTATCTAGACCACATATGTCAGAGTCAAGGCCCGCGGGCCAGACGCGGCCCGCGGAGCATTTTTATGTGGCCCGCGAGATAAATATCAAAAATATATTAAAACTGGCCCGCTGGCCGATTTTACCGCAAAGACTTCAACTCCCATGATGCTTTGCGGCGTCAGCGCGGAGGCGACGCGCCCCCTCCTTTGTGTTTTTTCCAGCCCGAGGCGGGGGTAGTTGGGTGTCTGCAGCTCCGCTGTCTCGGACAAACTACACTCCTCTCACTCAGCGCCGAGTTCACTCATCTGTTTTCTGACATTGAAGCCCAGAAACGGAGATTCTAGCCGCTCAGTAATGTGTTCACGACTTAAAGAGAAAGTTTTCCAACTAACGTCCAGACAGAGCTGATATAACTCCAGCGAGCAGCGACACGCTCAAACCAGCACGGCTCTGTGGTTGTGTTTCCTCCCCGACACACAACAACGTGGTCAAGCTGCTCAGACATGTTCATCAGCACAAACCTATGTGAGCACCGGTTGTCATCTAATGTTGTCATTATTATGATGAAGATGAACAAAACAACAGGAGTCTCCTCCTCAGCTCAGATCAACCCCATGATGCAGGTATCTGGCTGGAACAGGTGAGCATCACAGTAAACCAGTGGAGCAGACTGAGCTTTAAATATGTTGGTTTTGTGCTCTTTTTCTGCTCCAAAACATGAAAGTTAACAGGTGAGATGTTGCATTTTCATTTAAGATAAAATGATATTTTTATTTTGTTGTTGGCCCGTGAGAAAAGATTTAACCTACAGTAAACAGGAAGTGGAAAGGCTGCAGATAGATGAATAGAATAGAAAATCCCTTTATTGTTCCTCTGTGGGGAAAGCTAGACATCACAGCAGCGATGACACGTATTACAGGAGAAAAAAAGGAGAATAAAAAATAAGAAAAATGAATAATCAAGAAAACATAAATCCTGAATAGATTTATAAAATGCTGATTATACAAGTAATGAATACCACTGATGCCTTTTATTTAAAACTGACTTGCTCGTGTGTAATTTGGTTATTCCACATTCAGTGTTAATGCAGAAATATGTTTGTTTCCAAATTTAAAGGTTCAAAATTGCATATATGTTGATAAAGAAAATGTGCAAATTTGCCGTCACTTTTTCAAAAATATTAAGTTTGGCCCTCGACTCCGTCCCAGAGTTTCATTTCAACCCCGTGTGAGTTTGAGTTTGACACCCCTGATCTAGACCAAATGGTTTGATGAAAACCATTACAGTGCTTGTTGACGTAGTTTTTTTTTTTTGGCATTCCCACAGACGCCTTACTTCCTCTTTAAATGTTCCTCATCAACACTGACCCTAAAACAGAAAACCCTTGTAACTTCACATGTAGGAGTAAAGGAGCGCTTGTTTTGCTTGTGCAGCCATCAGCCGAGGCTTTTATTCTGAAGTAGCAGCCCCTTGGCCACGTCAATCCCGCTCAGCGTCTCAATTTCACCCGCGTGAAAACTTTTGCCGGATCGGTGTGATCCTCCTGGGTCAGTAAATCTCTATCAGTGTCACTCACTTTTCACAGAATCACAGGGCAGATGTGTCCAAACCTACTGAAGTTACCAGAGTTACTCTATAGTGGAGTTGAGTTAGTGTTAAGTCAAACACATGACAAACCGTGAACCATGTACTATTCCTGCCCACTGGCACAGCTTTCTCAGACTCACCTCTATAAATGCTGCAAAGTCAGAAAAATCTTTAGTTGAAAGGTCGTGCATCTGAGGCTGGGAGTGAATCTGTTGCTTCAGGACACGTTTTTGATTAAAGCAATTATCATCAGCTGACATTTGAAGCACTGCAACTCAATAAGAAAATGCAGATTTAAATCCTATTTAAACTTGTTGAATTTAGAAATATATGTTTTACTTTTACTGGGATGGAAACGATGGTTACTTCTAGAGTGGAGGATTCTCTTCTTTCATGATCCTTCATGGAAAGAGTCAACTGCATTGCGCATTAAGAGCTGAGCCCACATGCTTGAGCAGCTTCAGATCCTGCATTCTCTATCTGCAGATAAATAAATAAACTGAAAACCACATCCCTCTGTCTGAGCTGGAAGATCTGCCCATGGACCAACGAGCATGTAACAATGCTGTATTTCCCATCTAAACTAAACCAGGAAACTAGTCTGATCGTGGTTCTTTCTAGAGAGAAGGAAATATTTGCTGAAAGGCAAATCTAAAAAAATGGCTAAACTTGGACAACTTCTACAATTTATTTTGAAACTTTGGTGTTAAAACCGACTCAAACATGTAAACAACCAAAATGGAACATTGTAGTTCCGACTTTGATCAAATTCCCTCAGAGTTTTTCATGCAGGCTGAACATGAAAATAGTCTCCTTCACCTATCCCCTGCTTTGGCTTCTGATAGAAAATAGATGATGAAACTCTAGAATTTGAAAAAACAGACATCTAAGTGATTTGTGAAATATAAGACTCATATGTGAAAATTTAACATGACTGGGACATTCAGAAGAGCAAGGGCTGCTTTCCATTTAGAGAAGGTTCTGATCTTAAGCATTTTTACAAAGTAACTAGTGTGTGCAGTTGCAGAACTGGAATGCAGCACTTGTTATTAAGCTTGTGGAATTTCTAGTGTTCAGAATAAAAATGTCTTTAGTGAAGCAGGGATGTTGGCATATGACTGACTGTCTAACAGGACTGCACATTCTGAACACTGATAAAGCTTGTCTGATCCCTGTGATGTAAAAACTAGGATGACGGTAGGATGATAGTACACCTGAACCGTTACAGGCCAGCCTCTGTAACTAGAGTGTTTTGGGACCATTCAGAAGAAGAAAAACTAACAAAACAAAATATTAGTAATTTTCAGGATTTCTTATTATTATACCAGAGGATTGTGGTTCTGTTTTTCCTGGGTAAACTACAGAATAACAGCACAAAGCCTTTTCCCAAATAGATCCAAGTTGAGTTTTATTCTCCCACAGCAGCTCCAACCCTGACTTCTGTTAATCATTCAAAGTAAGAGTTTCAAACAAACACAGATACTTAAAAAAACTTGCAAAACACCTGGAGCTTCTTGGAATGGTATATTTGTCTCCTATGAAATTAATATTGTCATCCAAACCACAAGAGATTCTGGAGGTTTTTACTAGTTGTGCAAACCTCTAGACGTCATAAGTTCTAGTGTATGTGCCTATTAGAGCTTTCAAATTCAAATTCTATTCAAATTCAAAAAAAAACTTTAATCATCCCCGAGGGGCAATTGTTTCAGTACAGAAGAATTGGTACTGTGGTCATTCGCAACAAGAGTCACGCTACCGTTAATTAGATGAAAAGGGGATTACATGAGGATAAATTGGGGGAGGGAAAAAAAAGGCATACCAGAGTTACTCCCGGCAGGGCGTAGCTTCACTATGCCAAAAAAAAAAAAGCCTCAAACATATAAGCATGAACATCAACAATTCACAACATGAGACACCGAGAGGAAGGCGGGGGGGGGGGGGGGGGGGGGATCCTGTCTCCCCAGCGAGAGCAGCCCTATGGCGCTCAGCCACTGTAGCCACAGCTGGGAGGGAGATCTTGGGAGGAGGGCAGAGCACATTGACACCTGCAGGTTGATGACCTCGCCAGGCTGAAGTCCACCAATTCGAAGGCGGGGGGTAGGTCGGGTTTTCACAACATCTGTCTGCATTCCTTCGTGGGGGTTTGTTGTTGGCATTCACAAGGCTGCCATGGCGTCAGATTCGGATAACAAGACTTTGTATGGGTCAGGCAGAGATAATTTTCCTCTCTGCCTTGAGTCTGTAACTGATCATTCAAGTCCTCCAGTGAAGCCAATTCAGGTTTTAAACATCTCCACACCGTCCAGTGACCCTCTCCAAGATGACATCCATTTTGCGCACTAATACCGGTATCGCAGCTAGAACATTGTCCAGCTTACGATTCACCTCGAGTAACAGCCCAGTCTGTGAGGTCTCCACACGGACGGTGCTTTCCGTGGGTGCGGGTCGCCCTCCAATCGCTCCCGTCTTCCCAAATTTCCTTTTATTAACTTAGTTTTGCCACTTTACCTCAGTCGGTAATTGCTTTTTGATTGCATGTCCTCGTTTTCTTAGCGTTTTGACTTAATTATTGGTATTTTTCATTTTATTCTCAAAGTAGTGGTTCGACATTGCTTGCTGATTTCAACTTTAATCTCAAGACTCATAAGCAACACAAACTTACCTTTTTTTCTTTTACATGTATTTATGCATTAGCCCAAACACTGCAGCACACCCTCTCAAAGCTGCAGTGAGATGAATTAAATTAGAGTTCAACCACCAGACCCAGAGAGATTTTAAAAGGAAGCCATCAGTGTGTGGCCCTACCTTACAGTAGCCGTGTGACTGATTCATGTGAACATCTCAGATAAATGGATCACTTCTGTAGCTGCTAATGGATCAAAGTGGTAGAGGTGTGGAGAAAAGTGAAGACGTAAGATGCAGTTCTATCCAGCGTGAACAATAATTATTTTTTTATTATAGACAATGAACAATTCAAAATACAAAACAACCCATCAAGCAGCAAAAGCTGAAAAAATAACACTTTTAAACATAAAAGTGCAAAGAATGACGCTTCACATGAAAACACACCAATTTTCTTCTTCTGTTCTTTTTTCCTGCATGTTTTCACATCACAAAAGCCAGTATTCATCCTGCTACCTGCACACCGTGCAAAACAAAATCATGTTTGTCGAAGAGTCAAAAACAATTCCGAAAAAATGAGAACTGTAAAAGTGTGCAATCCTGTCTACTATGGAGATTAACTTTCACCCACTGGACTGAAATGACAAGAAACAGACGGATGGAACAAAAGATCAAAGCAAGCTGTTATTGTAAGAGCGCATTTGCTGGCACACATTGAAAATAAAATAAAATACAATACGGCATAAATTTCACATTGTACTGAACAATCAACTTTACACATCTTCATAATATAGACAAAAAACAAACAGCTTCTGACACAACACATGTCCCTTTCACAGCATCCACTTGATTATTCCTTCTATGCAGACTTCAGTTGCACACGTGTGCAGTTCAAGCAGAAATCAGGTGTGGTTTTCAATATTTACATATGAGTTCCACCAAATCAAGCATGGCTCTATGTTGTGACTTATTTACACATTCCAGCACTGCCTTAAGCTTAAGCCCCTAGGGGCTTGTTGAGCAAATAAATAACAGAAAAGGGCCTCATGCTGCGGCCAATACCTGTGATTCAATGCAGCTGGTTTTAAATGTACTTTTTCTGCACTTGAGGAGTTCATATCTCCCATTTTCTGATGCAGTGCCCACTGACCTTCACGGGCTCTCCACAGCGATCGTCTTCACAGTGACCAGAGCAGCGGAAGGCTTCGGTGTGTCTGTCACGTTGAGACTAATCAAACTACTCCCTGCAGAAATCATTATTGTTCAGGTGATTCTGAACTGACAGCAGCTTTAAGTGAGTATCTAATATCTTCCTCTTTCTGCACCGAGACCACTGTTAAAGGTCATGTAATCCAACATCTGTGCTTTTCCTCTCCAAGCAAAAAGAAAATGTCATGGTGGTGTGCATTCAGATTAATTTGAATTACATGGCTTCAGGAGTAGAGCTGCGCTAACAGAAAGGAAACATTTTTGCTTTGTCAGTAAAATCCTTGCAGAACAGAAACGGGGAATGGTCCATTGGAGCTGTACAGAACAGATGGTGTCAACACTAATCACCCAAAAGAAGCTACAAGAACAGGATAAGAGAGGAAATAGAGATCTGCTTTATGTGTTGGTTTGTTCAACACTGATAGTTTCAAGTGACAATAAAACCTGCCAGAATCCTGTTTTTCCTAAATGTATCCAAATGATTAGTATTTCCACATGAGGATGCACTGCTGACTAATATCCTACATTCTGATCTGCATCATGCACTGCTTTCTAATAAAGGCTGCCAACAGAGAAACAGCTAAGTCTATAATTAATTATTAAAGAAATAAACATAATACTTTTGGATCTTTTTCATTAATTTACTGATTTATGATTGTTCATTCAAAAGCAGCAGTGATCCTCATTAGTGGTGGTTTCTTCGTCTTTGTGCATCCAGCATGCTGAGATGGAAAATTATTTGGGTTCAAGGACAAGTTGTAGAATCAGTCTAAATAATGAATATGATCTGAAATGTGATGTGAATGCTTTTGTAACTTGTAACGTTCATTTTATAGCCTGTAATTTATGTTTTGTGACACGTAATTTTCGTTTTATAGCATGTAAATCACGTTTTGTAACCTGTAACTTTCATTTTGTGGCATGCAATTTTAGTTTTGACACATAACTTTCCTTTTGTAGCATGTCATTCACATTTTGTTACCCGTAACTTTCCTTTTGTAGTCTGTTATTCTTGTTTTGTAACACGTAACTTTAGTTTTCTAAAACGTAACTTACGTACCGAAAGTTTCATGTTACAAAACAAGAACTATATGCTACAAAACAAAAGTTACGTCTTAGAACACAAAAGTTATGACTGACAATAACAAAAATGTGTGTTACAAAACAAAGGTTACATGTTACAAAATGTGAATTATATGTTACAAAATGAAGGTTACAGTTACAAAACATGTTACAAGTTACAAGACTTGGTACAAGTTATGTGTAATATTGTCCTAATCCTAGCTCCATAAATGCTTCTTTAAAAGTCTGTCTAAGTGTGAATCCTTTCTCTCAAAGCCCAGAAGGAGGAATCCCGTCCTATTCTAATCAGTATTTAAAGAAAATAATTTCATTTATTGGAAAATAATTTGCTTTGGTATGATTTCCTGATGCATGTGCAATGTCATGTGGAAATAAAAATATATATGCTGAGAAGATTAATGATCTCAGTTGAGCTAATTCATGACACTGGCCACACAAATGTGTTAAAAGACTTTGATCTGGCCAACACTACAACAGATATTTTTTTATAATTAGATATTTGGCAATTAAATTAAATAGTTA